CACATGCTCAGCGTGGAAAGACAGTAGTGGGCGCCGTAGGTAAGTTTCTGTCGGTTTGCTAGGCAGCGTTCAGACTTCGCGACGGCAGCGCTTCGGTCGCGCGTTCGACGCGATCGATGCGCATGCTTTCGACTGCATCGATCGCGTCGAACGCGCGACCGAAGCGCTGCCGTCGCAAAGTCTGAACGCTGCCTTATGTGTTTTGTACTTGTTATTTGCGCAAGCGAGACATTTAAAGGACTTCGTGCTAAATTGAACTTGACGCGAAAGTCCGTTTTTGTACGATTGATTTTATCTGCTCACTCCCGTGACGCCGCTGTTCTCGCCCGAATACCTGCCGCGAGACTTACCCCTTTCGCTCTGCTGCAGCGAAAGGCAGTAAGTGTCGTGGGAGAATTCGGGCGGCAGTGCGACTACATCTTCTTTATGACACGATACTGCTCGCGACTTTAATCGTCGGCGCTCTCCTAGACCTTGGGTGGAAGAAATGTCGACGCATCGCTGCTTAGTCCACTGAACCTAGCGCCTCGCGCAGTTTGCGTGCCGGGTCCCTGTAGCAAACTCAGTCAAAAGGTTTACATGACTTATACACACGTTTACATGACTTATTTTCTTTGAATAGAGGTTGATTATTGATTTTGCGAACATCACTCAAGCGGAAAGGGGGGGGGCAAACTATCTATATAGCTGGTCATCAACGCAAAATAACTCAGCTAGCCCCATTCTCCCTACCCTGGCTCCACGGAAAAGTGCGCACATACCTGCCTCCGTGAGCGTAGTCAGCACGCAGGCTTGTGCGCAATCACTACGTCAGCGCAGTCAGCACGCACTACGCGGTGACCAGTGGGGCCATCAGCCTGTCATGGCACTACAGGGCAAAAAACTCGCTGGCACGTTGCTTATGAATGGTAAACCAGAGTAGGAGATATGTAGAGTCATTGGAAGGGGAAAAGTTCACGAAGCTCAACAGTTGACAACACTGGCACTCGACCGACCGACAGTCCTGTTATGAGGATTATAGAACCTTTTTTTTGAGGAACTAGGCTATTTTCACTGAAATACGGATTGGAATTATCACATTGCCCGCTTCTGTGCTGTCAGTGACTGCGGGTTGATTGAGGAGTATCATCGTGCCAATTTCCATTAAGGTCCAGTGATAAACGGCGCTAATCATTGTCCAACCGTTAGCCTGGCATCACAGCGATGGCGCTCAGCACGCACCTCCTGTGAGATTTTCTCGTCCCCCCCCCCTTAGCAGGCCATAGTACATCCCTTTGCCAAGGAATCCCTAGCGATCAGGTCTTCGGTCTAGGACCGCTGCGCTTGCAGTGTTACGTGCCGCTCTGTTGACGAGCCTCTGTATTAGTTATTTTTTCACCATCATAAACATGAACAATAAAATAATTCATTTTTCAGGCTGTTTATACCTTTCTGTGGCTAATGAATTCGGAATATTCCCTTTCAACTTCTTCGTAAAGGAGAGAGTATCAATACAGAAGACATGACAATGATGCAATTTGTGCTGTATATATGTTTAGTGGATAAAAATAATGCATATGGTTTTTATATGATGTACAGGATGTTACTCCGTGAGTTATCCATACCTATTACTTGTCTGTCTATTTTACCCCTTTTTGAACCCATGACTGATTATGATTAATTTTCTTTTTTGAAGTTACTAATGTCGTCAGCGATGCCAACTAAACAGATAGAAAAGGATTGTTTCCCATGTCGAGTGACTGGTTCGCTAAGCAGCGCATTCATTGCGTCTGTCATATTCTACACAACGGCGACTTCGAAGTACTACGTGAAGAGACCTTACATACAACGAGCTGTGCAGAGTGTAGGCGTCGGTTAGTTGTTACTTGCAAGTAAATTGATGGCTAGGTTTGATAAAACGAAGCTCAATCACGCAAATGGTAGCTGTGCCTCGATGAGGAGAAATGCAGTTGTTTAGTCTCCAGTACAGACGCGTCTCAATAGGCTGATTATGGATCCTTTCACCCCTTGTCCTTGATACCCACTCTCTCTCCTTCTACAGTCTCCCGCAATCCATATACCTCTGTTTACCGCACAGTATTGTTGGCTGCGGATACCGCGTCGGAGAGCTGGGTTCGGCGCAGCGCCAGGTGGTTCTCCATCAATTGTTGAAGCAGAGCAAGCGACGACAGTTGATAGAAAATGGGCTGCCATTTTTCCAAACCAACCCTATTGACCCGTCCCAGTATCCGCACCGAACAAGATTGAATGCGCTGGACGGAACATCGAGAAACTAGACAGCCTTGTTTTTTGGCTCAGAGGTGATTCCGCCGTCGTCTGCTTACTGTATAATCTGTCATATTCTACACAACGGCGACTTCGAAGTACACTCGAGATCCCTGAGATCGGGTAGGCGGGGCTGCATTCTTCAACTTAACCTGAAGGTGTCTATGCTTCTGGTGGATCTTGACACAACTGTTGTCGTGTCTCTGTCCAACACAGAACAAGATGACAGTTGTCCCAGACTGGAATATTCCACGAGTAACCAGTTCCGTGCCATGTTCAAATGCCACGCCTACTCTGGCTCAGGGATAAGGAGTGTACTATGTGGTGGGTGACTGTTTAATTATACGCGGTTTTTAGTGAGCCTTTTCACGGAGGAGCATCGCTTTTTCACTTTTTTTCGAACCTGTCTATTACCGGTGGCTATTTCAGCGGCTATGTAGAAATGCTGGTAATGTGATTTCTTACAATACAATGCGGAAAGGTTCCTGAGCTTCATTGTTTGAGCTTCACACGTTGATGCGAAAGCTCTCATAGTCTTTCATTCATTTATATGTTGTCATCATTATCCATTTCAGTGTTCCTGTACGGCTCACTGGCCCGTTGGTTCTATTTCCCGCCGTTCGGCTCGTTGAGACCTCGTCGAAAAGAGGAAAACTGACAAAGTGATAAGTGATCTATGCGGACAAATCTGGTTCGAGTTCAAATCTAGTTTCATATTGTAATGTTCATGCCATATATATTTGAATGTTGAAGTTTTGTTATGTTCTGTGACATGTTATGTGATTTAATCATAGCTACTCTTGTTGTGAACTTGGTTCTGCCTCATTTCTGTACCAGAAAGATAAATATATCCTAATATCTGTGCAGGCCTGCCAGCTAACTTAGCCAGTAGCTGAAACACGCTTCGATTTGGAACACCTTATCAAAGTTTTCTGCTTTAGAGTTACCCCAAATTAGATTGTTGAGAGCATTCTTCGCTGCTTCTATGAATTGATTTTCCCAGGTATATGGAATGAAGCAGTAGATTAGTGACGAGAATGTCTTAGGAAAAAGTGGCTTAGTGCCGGACACTAGTTGCGGCTCAGGGGCTGCAAGTCAGCCTAATTGGCGTGCGGCAGGTGGCGAAGGACGTTGCGGATGACGTTTCGACGCGCGACATTTTCGCACCAGAACAAGCTTGTATATGGGCGGAAGTGATTACTGAGCTGCGAGGGAATGGGCCTATCACAACGAACCCGTTTCCCCGTTCCACGACTCGAAATTTCTGAGCGGTAATCGTAATGCTGATGCGCCTGTCTGGCCGGTTGAAGCACGTCCACCAGCGCGGGCGGACGATTTCTTGTATCGCTGTTATGAATGAAGCAGAGATAGAAAAAGTCTTGGTATCTTAATCATCGGCATATTAGTCTGCTTCATCGCTTGAGTCATGGTTTCGTTGCTCCGATCGTGGATGCATATCAAGACTTGGCGCGCAACGCGGTTCGGTGCGCCGCGCCTGACGGATTATGAACGTCTTGTCTCTACCACTAAGGTACGCCCAGGTGCAAGGTCACCCAGCACATTCACCATCGCTTCAGCCCGTATTGCATGTGTTATCCTACCTATTAAGAGCGGCTATAAGGCGTTGAAATGATGTCGCGCCCGCGACATTCGCACCAGAACTCAATTGGTGTAGCCTAGAATTGCTGAAATAGAGTGAACTGGCTAAGGAATATTCTGCTAATCTCTCCATTGCAAATTTCCTGAACGACACCAACAGGAGGTGAAGGATGACCACTCTCCCTCGCGTACAAGTTTTTTTTTCAATCGATACCTTCATTTTAGAGCGAGAATTTGTCTCGCCTACTTCAGGCCGAATGTCTTCTCACAGTGATGTGTTACTATCGAAAATCGATGCTCTATTCGTCATGGGCGTGAGTGGTTGTGGAAAAACCACAGTAGGCAATCATTTAGCTGATTCTCTCGGATGGCATTACATGGACGGAGACGATTTCCACTCAGAAGCGAACGTAGCCAAAATGAAATCAGGTCAGGGCGAAACCAAACTCACTCGTTTACCTACAAATATAATTTTTTCAAGGAACCCCGCTCAACGACATTGACAGAATACCATGGCTTACTGCGATCAACACGTACTGTAGATCGAATAGAGCAGTGGTGATTGGTTGTTCTGCCTTGAGAAGATGTTACCGTGACTTGCTAAGGACTGGAGTTCGATGTCGTTTTATATTCCTCAAAGTGGACAGGTGACTTATTACAAAGGAAGTAGCCGAAAACTTCTGCAGTAATTGAGCTGTTGTTCAAGGAATCTTCTCGAGAAGCGCGTCAGGAACCGTAAGGGTCATTACATGCCACCTGAGTTACTTGACAGTCAACTGGCCACCTTGGAGGATCCCACCGGAGAAGAAGACGTGGTCACCATAGGAATTATCGAGGACCAAGACTCTGCATCCCTGTGTGATCACATTATACAGCGCTTACTTCGAAGCTTATAGCTGGCGCTTTTGACTGCTCAAAAAACTTCACTTGAAACTTTCACTTATTTGAAAAGTTTCACTTGAAATTTTTACACTTACCTTCGTTTACTTCGGTATTTTGTGATAATGTACATATAGAGTCATCATAGCTTTATAAAACTTCTATCATCACTAGATAATAAATAAATCTAGTGAATTGCAGATGTACAAGCGAATTGATACGGTTGCTAATAACCGTGAGGGGCAATCTTGAGAACCCTCCTGCAGAAGTGCGGCTGACGCCATACAAATAGAAGTACCGTCGTTCAAATTCATTCACACGCGCTAGAGCTCCTTCTTAAGGTCTACGCCAAAGTCCTTATCTCCATCTTGTGAATTCCAATTTTCCACGGAAAGGCCTTGTGAATGCACCCCTCCCCCAAGGTTATTAAGGTTATCAGCGATTTTAAGCGATATAGCCTTGTTCGCTGGGGATACTGTAGCATGTCAAGGGAGAGTGGGGGGAGCTGGTTTTGGTGTGACGCCAGCCTCTTCTCCACCAACTTCTGTAGCTTTCTATCTCCAACAACTGGTGTGAACAGGCGGGAGCTGCACAACTAAACAATAACAACACCCAGGCGCAGCGAATAAGGCCTTCAGATCTGAAGGTAGAGCAGAGTCTAGCAGTATATGATCTGCCTAGCTAAGGATACTGTAGCCTGTAAACGGAGGGTGGATTAGACGGATAGACGCCAACTGACATAACCGTGAGTCTGAGCTGATTAAGCACGCTAGTAGTGAAAAGGGAAGGATATATGCAGATGCATAAGAAGTTCCACTACATACATACAAGGGCAACAAGGTCTGATTGCTTCTATTCTAGTTTTTCACTCGATCAGAGCAAGAAGATAGTTGTGTTTGAGCTGGCTCCAATGGCTATTGATGTCCCTTACACAGGATCCAACGTCGACTCGTCCGAGATCCCCCAGGCACCCAACTCTCCTCCCTCTGCGATCGATGAAAAGGTGAGCTTGTAGTAGGATAAAATATCAACCTGTACATCGCACAACCCTTTAATTCAGTTTTTAGCCCATTGAAAAGCCACTAGCGGTGTTGGAGTAGAGCGATACGCGTGACGTAATCTCAACCCTTCAGCCGAGTGCTATACCCCCTAATCTTCATAGCATTAGAGACCGCTGATCTCCTCGAAATAAAGACCCCGTCCAGTGCGGATTTTTTCATAGCTACCACAAGATTTTTTAGTTTTGAGCAGTAGATTTGTCACAAGGCAGGACTCAGCAGTTCGAAATCCATGTGATAACTTTCGCGCCCGAGTTAGTCCGAATGTAGGGGGGGGGGCATTTTGGACATTTGCTACTTCCCAACCACTTGTTTATTGCTTTTCAAGAAGAGTCGAGAGTATTTCTTCACAACAGTTGACAGGTGGTCTCCTACGAGGAGAGACGGCAAAGAGATCGTAATTGGCTGCTTGTCGCGCGCGGGCAAGGGCGTGACGTTCCCTCAAACTGAGAATCGATATAAGAAGGAATGGTAGACAATTCTTGTCTATTTTTGGTCGTATCATGTTATTATCGATCAGCACCACCCCTAAGATCGTCGTCATTAGCTGGCGCGACGTCGCACACGACGGCCACTGGTGCGGCGAATTACGGTTCTCTTGCCACATACCTTCTACATGTGTCAAAGATATGACACTTATCACATTGTCACTTCACAGGATTTCACAGGTCTCATTAAAGGCTGCTCGACGCGAAACGATAGAATGCGAAAGTGCAGTAATGTCCCCTCCCCCCCACCTCTCAGGCAGAAGTGCGCCAGTTCCGTATCTCGAACCGCGATAAATAGCAGTTCTCGTAAAAAAGGACAAGTCAGGAACTGTTCTTAGCCTTTAGATTGCCCACGATACGCGTAAGACCAACTATATTGCTTGCCGAAGACGGGTTTTATTCACTCCAAGATAAAGGTAATTGAATCTATTACACATGGGCAGCCCATGTGAACTCGAAGGGTAATGCGCGCAGTAAAAAACTGGGACATGGCTTGTGCCAATCAGCCTGGCGATTACGTGGGAACGAAGCACTGATTAAAGACTGGAATTCGGGTTTAACTGACTAAGCCGGGAAACCCGTTTGGCCCGCCAGGGTGAAAGTGATAGTGTATGTACGTGTTAGAAGTCTAAGCAAGTGAAGCAAAAAAGGCAGTGGTTGGTAGAGACGTACCTCTGCCGTACTGTCTTCGAGAACAAGTCTAATCTAAGCCTGCATCCCTTTCGTGTTTTGTGAGCACAGACCCTTGGAAGTATGAAAACCCAATTTCAACCTAGGCTGCAGATTAATTTCGATAAATTTCCCACCAACTCGAATGTTATGGTAATACGTGGGGCTTCAGAAAAGGTGTGATCGGGCATCTTCAATGGGAAGAAAATGCCCCATTTCCGGATGTTCTTATGTATCATTGAGCGATTAGTTTTCTTTTAGAACAGGCTATCAGCGCAAAGCTTGGAAGAGTGCTTCGCGAACGCGGAATCCCAGAAATCGAACTGCCATCAGGATAACGTGATGCGATGCTATCAGGATAAGGTGAGCGATAATGTCTGCTTCTGATAGCCTTACAAATGGATGACAAAACAGGAATACAAATGGCTATGAGTTAGCTCAGACACAGGTGCAGCATAGTGCCCATAAAGGGTACATTTATAGTAACTTATTTACCCTCCTGCTCAAGGCAGCAATTGGTAAAGCAGAGAAGGAACTAAGCCGAGAAAGCAGACTCCGGAATGAATGCTGCTTTGATTCAAATGTGCAGGACGAGCTCTGATAACTCCTAGAGCGGGGTTTCACGTCAAAAACATCTTGGGTTCTCAAACTCAGTAGCGGACCCGATAAGAATGTGCAGCCAATAAGGATAGGATCTCTGGAAAAATTTTGAGGGTGACATCCTTCTGATAAAATGTTATAATCACCGCCAAGATATTACAAGTTTATTTGGCTAACGTTTCAGCTCTTGTCACTTCGTGGAGCCTGGAAAGTCAAAGATAAAGAGCATACAGCCGAATGCCAATTTAGACTAAGAGGCCGCTGCACCGTAGACTATAGGGCGTCGTAGGGAGGTCTGAACACCGAAGCAAAGTTAGCAAAATAAACGTTGGCAATATCTTGGCGTGTTTTAACATCTCTCAAGG